GTCACTGAGCATCATGAGTGGTTCTGAAGAGGTAAATTGGAGAACAAGCGCCATGGGATGGAAATTGAAGGAGAACATCTTAAGCTAAGGAAATAAGATGAATAAAGGCAGAGAAATAGGAATTTTCAGAACCCGTTCAGTAAGTAGTCTGATGCATTTGACATGTGAACACCTGGGGATGGTAGATTGAGATACAGCAGACTTGGTTCAGGAAGGAAGAAGAGGGAGGAATTGAGAGGATCCTGGTTCAGAAGCTCACATCAGGAAATCCAGCAGATTGTAACAAAATAGGACAGGACTAATTTCTGTATTATAATCAAACAGTCTTATCCCCAGTATTTACTTCTAGGAATTATGATTGGAGAAGGTGACTGGTCTGGTGATTTTCTATGTAGTAATGAATCATCTATAATAATAAAAGGGTAATATGCTAATTAGACCAGATGCCTTCCAGATGTCATTCTGGACATCCTTCCTGACCAAGCTGAGGCAGAGGGAAGCAGCCCAGGTCCAGGGTGCCTGCTGGCAGCCAGAGGAGGGAAGCTTGGGTCCTAGGTGCCAGAGGGAAGCCAGTGCTGGCAGCCAGGGAAAGGAAGCCTACCCTTGCACGAATTTTTGTGCATCTGGCCTCTAGTATAATAAGTTTGTATTGATTTGCACTTGGCCATCCCCATCAAGTTCTACACATTCTGTTACTTAATGTTTTCATCAGAGAACAAAATGCTAATCATTGGTCTGGATGACTCCGATTTTCCTTCTATGTTGAAGGATGGGAAAGGCTCCAGTAAATGGGATATGCCAGGTGCTTCCACACCATTCCCAGGTGGGAAAAGTTCTTTGTTGGGGCTAAAATTACACAGACGAGTGTTGCAGCTAATTAATTGGATGACAACCAGTACCTCAAGTCCCTCCCAGCATTATTGCTTTTCTGGCTTTTCACACCCATCGTGTCAACACACGTTTCCCCAGTCTGTTAACTCATTCCTTTGCTAGTGATCTAACATTAATTTACCAACACGTTGCTAAACCGTTCATCTTTTTTTGTTGTTGTTTTTTTGTCTTATTTGATATTTGTAATACCCCTTGGGGCCATATCCCTTTAGAATTCTATTGACATACACTTCCTCCAGTGCACAGCATGTCAAATTTTAAAATGGTTACAGTTTCCTTCTGAAACATGCCATTTCATTTTTTTATATTTTCTTCTCTTTTAAAGATAGGACATTAGTTTCGTTGACAACTATGTGGTGCCAAGCTCTCTACTGTAATGCTATGTACATCCATTTGTGAACTTGCTTCTCACATAAACCTCACGAAGAAAGTACTCTGTCACACTTATTCATACAACCATATGGTTCAAAGTGATCATGTAATATGTCCAAAATCACAGAACCAAGTTGTTTTAGAGCCAGCATTTAAACTCAGGTCTCTCTTTTCCCCTATGCCAGTGGTCAGCAAACTCATTAGTCAACAGAGACAATTATCAACAGTACAACGATTGAAATTTCTTTTGAGAGACAAATTTTTTAAACTTAAACTTCTTCTAACACCACTTCTTCAAAAATAGACTGGCCCAAGCCATGGTATTTTGTGGAAGAGCCACACTCAAGGGGCCAAAGAGCCGCATGTGGCTCGAGAGCTACGGTTTGCCGACCACTGCCCTATGCCAAACGTTGTCAAGTCCTTTACCATTCTTCTTTGCTTTTCACAGGTAGTGAATATGCCCATTCTTAGAAGAATATGGAAACACAAGTCATGAACTTTTTAGTGTGAATATATTATTAACTCTTCCAGAGTATTTACATTTCAAATGAGGTCTTAAAAAAAGAACTAAAAATCTAAGACTGCTTTTCAGGCTTTGCAATAGGCTGCAGCAGTTACTTTTGGATAAAGAAGTCTTTGGGGCATTCAAAATTTAGTTGGCAGCTCCCAATCTTCCCCCTGGAACTAATTTGTTTCATCAGTAAGAGTTGCCAGAGACTGAGCGTTTTGTTTTGCACAGCAGTGTAACACTTCACTTTCCTGAACAGGATACGACTCAGTTTTCACCATGGTCTTAACTCATTGCTGAAAAAGCGTGCTGTGGACTATCACCACCAGCAGTGGTCAAAGTCCCATCCCCTTACACACACAGTAACACACGTGACTTGGGACTTTCTATGTTACCAAAATACCAAGTTGTCTCCCTGGAACCATACGAAGTTCAAGACTAAAATTCTGATTTTTTAATACTTTTGGCCTGGTGGAAAAAAACTTGCACGACTGTAGAGATTCCTTTTTCATATCAGGCCTTCCGCCAGAAATATCCCTCATTACTATGTCAGAGGTGTCTAGATAATGTTCATCCTATCCGTTAGTTGTTGTTTTTTTTTTCCTTTCAGTTATATATTATTCAGTTCCTAATTTTTTAATTTAATTATCTCCATCGTTATTGAAATATAATTGGCATATACTATTGTATAAGTTCAAATTGGGCAATGTGATTATGTGATTTTTAATAGTTTCCAGTTATGTGATGAGATTCTAATTATCAATATTATGTTTGCAATTACTTGAGTATATTAATCGTGCAGCATTCTGAAGATGATATAAATAACTCCATATCTAACTTTCTAGGAGTCAATTTGCACTGTCTTTTCAAAAACTTTCCAGTTTACATTGAATCTGACCTTCAAATGTATGCCTGATTATTTTTGACTAAGTGGTGACTAAGCATTGTTAGAGAAATAATGAAAAGCTCTCTATAATAGTATAGTATAGTTTTGGAGAGAATTTGCTTTTATCTATGATATACAGCTAGATTAGGAAAAAGCATCTAAATCTATGAACTGATAAGATTCACAACTTAGATTCAGTCCTTTTGAAGGATGATCTTTATCTGAATCTTCCTTAAAAGTGCTCTCCTCTTTAGGAAATTACTGAATTTTGATTTTTATTCTCCTATTCCTGTGAACCCATCGAAAGTTCTACTTAGTTCTTCAGATTTAACCATCCATAGTCAGCTCAAGGGGAAGAGTAATACAAAATATTTAGTTTAAGTCTTGGGGCATCTTTTCTCCTCTCAATATTATCCAAACACATACATGCTATCTTGGTAGCTCTACCAATTCCTCAAACAACTTGTTTCCATCAAATCTAGCTTTTTTTTTTACTTGTTCTCAGAGGAGAAAGATCTGGCTTAGAACTCCCTGTTTTATCATTGCCTGAAGCAGAGTTCCCTGTTTTGTTTTCAATTAAAGAGAGGTCTGAGTGAAATTAACACTTTTAGTTGTATAATTATGAATATGTAATTCACTTGTGAATATGAATACTCACCCTATTCTGGGTGGTCAAACAGAAAAAAATTTCAATTCTCAGTGACCAGAGCCCAGTTTTACCTAAGTGCAAAAGAGCATTTAGGTAAAACCCAGTATTCCACTATCCTACTTCCTTCTAACAATGGGCCAGAATTACCCACAATGTAATGATAACAATATATCCCTATCCCCATTTATATATATACACACCTGTGTGCATGTGTCTGTGCATGTAACAACATGCAGCAAGTAACTGCTATCAGAGAAGTTTATAAGTAAGGGGATGCTATTATAAAATGTCTGAATAGCCCACAGCCCAAAAGCTATTCTTTAACCTATGCCAAAATAATGCATGAACTTTCAACAACTGCAAAAGTTTTCTTGGGCAATGATGTGAATCTTTCAGCAACAAATATTTTCTTGGTTCTTCAGGGCATCTGTGCACTGGAGGAAAGCCATGTCTTCATGTGCTTGTGCATTTGCAAGCCAGCAAACAGAAACAGAAATAGCTAACACAGAAAGTTAAATGGATTAAACCCTTGCCAGGAGAACTTGCCATTGAGTAGCTATCAAAGAGAATAACACTTTCTGAACTACTACAAACAAATAATAGCAACAACAAATAGTACATGTATTGAGTGCTTCCTGCAAATTGGAAATTCTAAGGGCTTATGAGCGGTACTCAAACTTTACAGTCATTCTATGAAATAACTGTTCCTTTTTTTTTCATCTTAGAAATAATAATGATGAAATTCAAAGACATCAACTCACTTGCCCAAAATCACACAGCTTATGAACTGCAGGTCTGTAAGACCCTAGGGCTATATTCCTAACTACTATGCTCTAGTCTATTTTAGTGAAGGCACCCAGCCATAAAATCACATGGCAAATCATAATACCTTAAAGAATAGAGACACGGAGCTACTTCCTCCTAACAACAGGCCAGAATTACCCACATCTTGTAGTGATCAGCATATATCCCTCTCTCTATTTATATGTGTATGCACACATCTGTGTGCGTGCATCTGCGTGTGTGTTTACCAGTGATAATGTTGATAGTCCATTTACTTGTATAAATTCAGTCAATTTCCAGGCAACAATTTTGAAGTTAAATACCATGGTGCTGTATGAAGCAGACAACTTTTTCATTTATTAATAGACAATCTCACTTGAGTGATTTAACCTTTTTCACCTAAAAGTCAGTATCCTCAGCTAAAAATATGGAGATTATACTACTTTCTCATGAATGTGATTATTAATTATGATAAACTATATACCTGGTACATTGCAGGTATTCAACATTCTAGGTGTTGTTTTACCTTAGAGAAACATGATTAAATTAGCATCCTACATATAAATTTAAAGATATCCCGACTTTATGGACTCCACTTGTCTGGTTTCCAGTCTTAGGGATAAGGAAAGTACTGCAGCTGGGTACTTATGTGAGTGGGGCAGTGGGAACAGGTTGGATTTTCACTTGAAACAATACACCTTCCGGGGGAAACACTTAAGCCAGGGTCTGGGTCTGTATGGCAAACCCAAGTTTTAACTGAGCAAATGATGGTAAGCACTTGGATCAAAGGCCCTATACGGAATTCTAAAATGATGGAAAATATAGATCAGAAGCTAAAGAATTGATGCCAGAATGTGCTGTCAACCATGGTAGCAGTGAAAGCTATTCAAAACTAAAAGCTTGATCAAAAGATACTACATGGTAGCACATACACTGAAGGTGGAATGGTACAGAGAAGATTAGTATGGTCCCTGCATGAGGATGACATGCAAATTCATGAAGCATTCCATTAAAAAAAAAAAAAAAGATACTACATGTGTTCCTATTTCTTAGGCTCCAGGGAAGTGGAATGAGGACAAGGGACAGCGTAAGGCTGGAAAACTCTAAAAACCATAGTACAGATCTTCGTGCCCACACTGGGTAAGCAGTGTAAGCACACCGCTTAATGAGTGCTGAGAAACGGTGCCAAATATTTTATAAATACATTATCAACATTATTCTGCTTTTACAAATTCAATAGTGTTGCCCGGCCTGTGTGGCTCAGTGGTTGAGCATCAATCTATGAACCAGGAGGTCTCAGTTCTATTCCTGGTCAGGACACATGCCCGGGTTGCTGGTTTAATCCTCAGTATGGGACATGCAGGAGGCAGCCAATCAATGATTCTCTTTCATCATTAATGTTTCTATCTCTCTTTCCCTCATCCTTCCTCTCTGAAAACAATAAAAATATCAATAGGTATTTTAAAATAAATAAAATAAATTCAATTGGTGCTTTGCCTGGTGATATAACACCAATCCATATCCTCTCCTGCTATCAGGAATGATATGAATAGATACCAGCTATCTATAAATAATCTGATGTTTAAATGTCTTATTTTTAGAAGAAGTTGGAAACTTAAGGTAAATGTTCTCCTTATACAGACTTAGGATGTAGGTTGAAATATTTCAAAGATCTTTGTAGCTTTGAAAATACCAAACATCTGGATCCATTGCTTATGACCTCTGCCACAGGTCCAGCACCCGGGACAGCTGTGTGCCTCAGGAACCGCGGTTCATGTTACCTGGGCATTTTGCTTTTTAGAAGCCTGCTTTGTCCAGGAATGCAAATCTAGCTGCTATTGTCTTCACCCATTTAAGTATTTTTATAAAGCATGTAGCATTATAACTAGTCATTAATAAAAAGGAATCTAAAATAAACAATATTTCCAACAACTGCAAATCTTTATTAACCTGTCTAAACATTCTATGTGAAGGTGTTTTCTCAACAATTCATTACTGAAAATAGCTTTCTGCAGGACAGACCTTCAATTCGCCCCTGGCTGGGCATCTCTGCCTCTACTCGCTAACAGCATTATGGGCTCCAGGTCTGTCCTTAGGAGCCTTAGTAAACTTCTTATTTTTAGCTGCTCCTTTTACTGTACTGTTCTCAGTCCATTTGGAATGGGCAGGCTAGGATATTCGTGGCCTAGGAAAACTTCTCAATTTCTCTGGAAATATTATCAGTATAAGCAGTTATTATGCTTCTTATTTGTCTGTTTGACTTTTTGTTTCAATTAAGATAATTTTGAAGTAGATCCAGTTATATATAGTTCAAGCTCTAGTCAATCTCCATGGTCTAGGCCCATGGTAGGCAAACTGTGGCTCTCGAGCCCACATGTGGCTTTTTGGCCCCTTGAGTGTGGCTCTCCACAAAATACCACAGCCTGGGCGAATCTGTTTTGAAGTGGTGTTAAAAGAAGTTTAAATTTAAAAAATTGGGCTCTCAAAAGAAATTTTAATGGTTGTACTGTTGATATTTGGCTCTGTTGACTAATGAGTTTGCCAACCACTGGTCTAGGCAAAGTGCAGGCAATTTTTGATATTCTATTCATAATATACCGGATCACTTCTTTGATGCCTTAGCTTTCCTGGAATCTGACAGGAAAAAGTAATGGCTGTCAAGCAAGAATGATTTTGTATAACCAATACACATAATAAAAAGAACAAGAACATAAATTAAATAGATATAATGTGATATATTATAATATATCTTGCATTTATTTTATTTTCTCTTGCTCTAAGCCCTCTACAATGAATGCCTGAACATGTCATGTGTGATTTCCATTATAATGTATTGGCACCGTTTTATAGGTGACATTTCTTTAAAAAACTGGTTTCTCTGCTTTTACTTTGTGTTCAGTTGAAATAGTAAAGAGTTGTTCCTTGATGTTTACTACCATGGAGAGTTAAGTGAAACGTGTCATAGGCGATGTGTACGATGTAGGCACAGCTGTATATCATCCCTGTGTTGTTGGGTATTCATGTTTGAGCCATTTGCATGCTTTACTAGGAACACATTTTAAAATGATGGAAACATTGAGAATATGATACATGATTCACAATACACTTCTTGCGGCCTAAACAATATTTTTCTAACAGAAAGAAAAGGTTGACTTGTGGTATTAAATAGTGTATGAATTTATTTCTAGAGTAAACCATTTTATACTTTAAATGCAACATATTGACTTACTCTTGTGTGAATGTCAAAGCGAGGGAGGGTGGGCTTCAATTTTTAATTTTCCAGATTCTAGGCTTACATTTTTGAGATGCTATGTGTATTTAATGTATTTCAGTTCATAGAATTTTTACTTATTATCCATCAATAACCTTGGAGTAACCCCAGGAAGGTGGTTTCTATGAGGTACAACGTATCACACTGTATAACAAGGAGGACATAGATGGTCATTAGTTCCCATATGGCCCTTACTCCTTTTCAGCACAAAACCAACTGTCTTCAGCAAGGTCCATTTCTGCCAATTTCCTAAAAATTCTCTCCCTGTTCCTTCGACTTCCTATTATGGACTTGCTGTTCTGGGCTGTCTTGCTAACTTTCACTTTCTCTGATTTCTACTTCTTCTATTAGTCCCTCAATGTGGGACATTATAATCCTCCCTGTCTTTGATCACATTCTTGGCTCTGTGTCTTTTCCAGCATAGAACATTCCCTGGATGTTTTATGGGGCTTCTGATGTCAGCCATGTGCTCCCAGGGTCTTACCGCCTGGACTAACATCTGGCTGGAAATAGTGATTATACAATTGACACTTAAAAATCCATGCTTTACCAAGGAAATTTGTAGGCTAAAATCAACTAGAGATCCTTGAGCAACGTTTTCATGCTCATTATATGGGCCAGGCTGGTGACCCATGCTACTTGCAGGGTGAGAATGACACATCTGGACTCCCTCTGAGAGGAGAAAAAAGACAAGCACAGCCGAAACTGGTTTGGCTCAATGGATAGAGCCTCGGCCTGTGGACTGAAAGGTCCCAGGTTTGATTCCGGTCAAGGGCATGTACATTGGTTGCAGGCACATCCCCAGTAGGGGGTGTGCAGGAGGCAGCTCGTCGATGTTTCTCGCTCTCATCGATGTTTCTAGCTCTCTATTCCTCTCCCTTACTCTCTGTAAAATATCAATAAAATATTTTTTTTAAAAAGACAAGCACAAAGAGAATGATTCCTAGTAATTGGTCGATAAAGGGATTGCCAGCAATAAATTTAGGTCTGGCACTATTGTTCCAAAAGGGAAGAACTAAGATTTAAAAATGAGGAAGGCTTAGCAGTTCATATTCAAATAGGCCTCAAAACTAGTCACACAGCAAGTGGGTGAGTGTTGGCCATTGAGGGGGTGAATCAAGGTATGGGGTGAGGAAAGCAGATTCTGCAAATGTGGGAGCCCCTTTGGGAGATGCACTTACAGGCCTCCATGGGGCATGCATAAGCTGTGTTCTTCAAGAAGCAAAGATAATCCAGACCCTAGTTGAAACTTTCCACAGGCTACACGTGACAATACTTGAGTCCCAAGTGTCCAATCAGCTCCTTATCAGTGTGCACACGCCAGTTACTTAACCTCTCTAAGTGTCAGTCCTCCTGGGTAAACGTGGATAATAGAGTTGTCTGTATGCTCATCACAGCACCATTGTGAGAGTCAAATAAACAATGAAAGTGTAGGTGCTTTGAGGTGATAAAAAAGGTTTTTAAATATAAGCCACTATTATTAGGTTAAATTATGTCATCAAGAATTCCTTTTGTAGTTTATCCTTCATTTTGGAGGTGGGGGAATGTTGAGAAGCTGACACCTGACTCTTTGCAGAATATAGCATTATCTGCTGAGCAACACAAAGACCAACATCAGAAAACACAATAATTAACTGTCCATTGACCTATGCTGGTGTAGACAGAAAATCAATAGGGCTATGCATATAAAAGGCAAGTTTCTTGCTAAAACTCCAGAGCAATAAAGAAATGCGTTGAACAATTGAAATCTTTCATGTCAGAGGAAAGGAGTAAGAGGACCTCGATGCAAAGCACTGGAAGACACAAAAAGCAAAATAATAGGCACTTTTGCTGTTGCTCACGGCCAAAGGTGAAAGTACAATGCTTTTCCTTATTTAGGGCCTGCTCCTAACCTGCCCTAAAGATTGTCATATTTTTTTATGTTCTTCAGAGCAGTTTCTGTACAATAACAGTATCCCTTAGATACTCTAACACATGACTACCAGTGAACCATACCCATACTCTTCCCAAAGAAACAGAGCAGAGCAGGCAAGACATGAAATGCTCTTTAGGCTAACACACTCTCACCAAGCCTTTCTGGTGCTGCAGAATTGTCACACCCTGTCCCCATGATGAGGGTAGGGGACAGGAGGGAATCCACTTCTATTTCAGCAGCCCATGGACTATTTTCTATTAGAAATATCCCATACTTATACTTTACATTTTTAGTTTGCAGATATGCATGAATATGTGTATGTGTGTATGCAAGTATTTTGTTGGTGTTAGAAAGCTTTAGGCAGGAGCAAGGCTCCTTCAGGCTATCTTAGGTTCCATCTGGACTTCCTGGCCTCTCCATGTAAATTAAATCCAAATTTGACAACCTCTAGGCCCAGTAAGTGTATGTTGTACCTTCTTTCTTTCTCTCTCTTTCCTCTCTCGCCTCCCCCTCCCCTCTTTCTCTTTCTCTCACCCTCTCTCCTTCCCTCCCTCCCTCTCAACAAATTATCGTCCTTAAAACAGAAGATCTGACCTACACCATCCTTGTCAGCAGCCCCATCATATCATCTCTCGCTGCTTTTATGTTATTCTGAAGCCTCTGCCATGACCTAACATATTATATTTATCTTCCTGTGGCCTGTGTTTCCTCAATACTATTTGTAATTCAGGAAGGCAGAGGTTTTCCTCCACTGTATTCCCAGCACCTTTCCAGGCATCGGCCATGTAAAAAGTGGGCAGTAAATATTGTTGAATAGCTGAATGAATAAG